TTCTTTCTTCTGCATCCACAGAAACCTTTGAAATAGTTGGGACTAGCTGGTGGTTATTATTGGATTAAACCCTACAGCTAAAGGATGTCTTGTATACTAAGCACTAAAAGCCACTGGTAGGGAAGCCATTCTTTAACTGCTGCGATAATTCTTATTTCTTTTAGCCCAAGCAATTGTTCAAGTCAGTCCAAGTTTGTGACTTCACACTTGCAATTCATGACTGACACTGCAGTCATACCATGGCACATCACAACCTCTGAATGTGTTGGGTTACAGCTCCACATGTGCTGGGATCGTAAACTAGATAGTGCTCAAAAAGATCAGATAGAGGAAATGGCTGCACATTTCAGAGCTATTTAAATCTGTCATTCTTAATTTTTTTTTAAGTGAAAACAGCCTATCTGCAGAAGTGTCGGAGGAAGGAAGGATAGAAGCAAGGCATAATGTGCTTCAGGCAAGCAGAAAGTACGTGCGCTGCGGGGAATATCTATTTAAAACCCTTCATGGCTAATGCAATATATGTATTAGTTTCCTACTGGATTTCCTTGCCCTCATCTGTTTCCAGACCACTGCACCAAGCTTCCAACCTCTCAGTAGCATTTAATTCCCTCTGCAGCATTACACTAAATTAAATAGATGTGAAATCACTGGCAGGGTGCTGCCATCGTATCTACTGTAAACATCTGGAGCACCTCTGGAAAAGACAACCGAGTTACTCTTGGCTTCTGTTGCTATGAAAAGATGTGGCAGAAGGGTATTGCAGAGACCACGTCCTCAGTAGCTAAAAGGAAAGGAGTGCTGCACTCCTCAGGAGTCGTCTTACCACCACGCTAAGCAGCAATACTGTTAAGTTTGGAAAGAATTGGATACTGTTTGTGATGTGGGATTGCAAGGCGGGAGGTATGAAGAAGGAAGCAAACAGAGACTTCTTTCAGCTTCTGCAATGGCAATGCAGGACCGCCCTGCTTGGATTTTTAATAGCCTGTATATACCTCATAATCTTTGGCTGATAGGAACTTTAAGCTTCTAGACGTGGGTCTGCTTGATAGAGGCATTTTTAATGTCATGAAAAATGTATCTGTGGTGAAAGTTGCAGTAATAAGTGAACTCTTCTCTGAATCATTTCTTGGAGAAATCCCTTACTGAGGTCCCAAAGGAGTCCTGGCAAAGGATTTAATGGCTTCTGGGTCAAGAGCGCTGGCTTAAAGAATTTGTGCTTTGTTGTGAACTCCAAAAAAGAGTTTGTTGCGCTTTCAGAGGTGCAGCTGTGAATATTGTGGTAACCTCCCCAAAAAACAGGGATCTGTGGAGTTATTTTCTTAGACACAGAACGCCAGGCCTGTGTGGGTACGAGGGGGACTACCAATTCTTATATACTAAAGGGCTTAGTCCATCTGTCTGTCCGTCTGTAATGCTCTCGGAGCACACTGATTGGTTAGTGAAACAACCAATTAGAGTGCGGAGCACCGCCATGATGGAGGGAACGGAGGGGGGCAGCAAGGCCAGTGCTACTGGCTTTGCCCCCCTGCTCTGTCCCCGCTGTCATGGCAGTGCTCTGCCGCCTCCAAGGAGCAGGGCTGGGGATGGGGGGAGGTCAAGGCCAGTGGCGCTGGTGGTGGCAGCGGTACAGGGTGGTAGCGGAGGAGGAAGGAGAGGATAGTGGGGCAAGCTTCCCCCCCCCCCCGATCCTGGGGGGGGGGGGCATGGGGGGATGGGGGGGGGGGGTCTTTCCCTTCGTC